TTTAAAACAAAAGTTCCACAGAATTGTTTCTTAGTGGCATACATGGCATTTATGCAAGTTAAGTGCAGGTCTATTAAGAGCCATAGATACTGTATGCTCTTTTCCATATTTAAATATTAATTTGGAACTGCATTCTTAACAAGCTTTAATCTTCTTGGGTTCAACCAATATTAATAAATTCCCTTCTTTATTGTCCTTTACAAGCTTAAAGAGACATACTGTGCACCAACATCATTTTATCAACCTACTGTATTATTATTATGATGATTATTTATGTAGGTGTTTAGGAAGACACATTCCTTGTTATTATGTTTCCCAGTCTTTCCAGTACTGTAAGTGTAACCTTTTTCTGAAACACCTACAATTTTGGCCATATCCACACAACAAAATAAGCATCGTTCAAGTGACAATTGTTTGGCACACATTATGACTTGCCATTTAAGCACACAAGATAAACCCAGAGTGAACAGAAAAACCTGAGGAATAATATGCCCTTGTCTTTTTTTGTCAATTTGTTAGTCGGGTTGCTTGTTCCAGTTAGCATCACAGGAATGAGACCTGTGATAGTGTCTGACAGGGAATGGAAGTGAGGGAAAAAGTCAGCCCGTTGGCACAAACTTTAAGTGTTGCAGGCTGCCAAGCTAGCTTTGTTAATGTTAATTGATCTCACCTTCGCTTATCAGTGAAATGTGTATAAGGCAGTGGTGTTTTGAATTTACAGCTTACAGCGAGGTGGGAGGTGGTTTTCTGTATTTGTTGAGGATCCCATTAATAGAGTATGCACTTGATGGTTTTGTAGCAGAGGCAAATTGATACTAAAGAAGATTGTTTAAGGTTGAAACAAATCATTAACGACTGTACCTTGCCTTTGAGGAACAAATTATCTGCAGTTTGGACTTAGCAGGGTAATAAATGAATTCTAAGAAATAAAGTTAGAATTTGCCCAAAATGCCATACTGTACTTCTCATCTTAAAAGAATGAAGCCAGTGAATGACATTTAAAACAAAAGTTTCAGTAAGAAATAATGCAGTATTATGTTTGCTCAAATTGTGAAAACAATCCTGTACTGAAATGATTTTGTTATCTTTAATATGTTCAGTTCACCTCTGAAACTTAATATGACTTTTTGATTTTACTTTGTCCCAACCTGACCTGCACAAAGATAACTTACTCATGCTAGACTGGATTAGGATAAACAAGAGCTTCTGCAAGGTCTGACAGCTAAACTCTGAGTCCTCCCGAGTGGATGTGATGCCAGGCATGGCTTTTAGTGTGGTCAGAACAATTACGTTACTTGATGGTTTATCCAAAATGACAACCCTTTCTTAATGTTGACTAAACCCAGTTTAACTTTTTTTTTAAATCTTTGTACTGTAACTCACCAATAATTTTGATAATCTAATAATCTCCACACATCTGACATCAAATGAGAGTCAAATGATCTAATGCTTGTCTTTCGGGTTTTGTGGGTAATTTCGCAGACTGTACAGTTGTGGTTATAACATATGAAGCAGAGTGTAACACCTCCTGTGAAGACAGTGGAACAGTAGAGAGTCAAAGACCCACTTTTAACTGTTTCTAAAAGTAAATACAGTATTTATTTGTATACAGTATGAACATCCATTAAATAGTGTTTACTAAAGTATACCCTTAAATATTTGGCATATTTTAGTAAGTCAAAGTACACATGACTAGCAGAGTGCAGGGTGGTGCTGTATAAGCATTTACATTAATGATTCTCTATTCCTTTGTCTGTTACTACTTTAATGAAAAGGCTATGGAAGTATACTTGTGTAAATGCTAAGGGAGCATACTCACTCCTTGTTTTGCAGTGCTACATTTCAAGTAAATAATAATATTTCCATTTCAAGGAAAAAATGACACTACAGAAAAAGACTAAGTGTACTGAATGTTCAGCACTGATTATTACTATTTATATGTACCCACTCTTGCAATTTTTTTATATTTTACATACAGGATATCCAGTATAGACTTTATTATACAGTGTATATTGCATACTGTACTTTTCTAAGACTTTTTTTGTGTCTAAGTGCATTACTGATATAGAGTGTCCTCTTTTTGTGACTAAAGTGCAGTGCTCTTCCATTTTGGTGCCCAAGTAAACGAAAAGCACAGTTAGTTTGATTTTTTTTTACTTAATAAAACTTTTTCTGTGGATTTTTTGTAAACTGTAATTTGTTCTGACTGTGCAGAGCACAAATCATCATGCTTTGTGCCCCAGCTGTGCCTCCCATTTGCATGTGTTTCCAGGTAAAAAGATTGCTGTTATTAAAAGATTTGAATCATTTTCATGGCTTGTGCATTTGACAGCACATCCTGCTGAATAGAGCAGTAATTTCCTTACTATGTAATTATCGATGCAAATTGATTTTTATTAAATCCATGCATGCATATCAATAGTTTGCCATAAACGTGAAGCTGCTATTAATGGCTTAGGAGTAAGACTGTGAGAAGAATTTTAATAGAACTTGACTGCCATTCCAGTGTCACAAAATACCATCTGTCCTCTGGTGATTTTGTCAGCTTGAGTGAATATTAAAGAATGAAGACTTTGTTAAATTTGCATCTTTTTTGGATGTATTTACAGTTAGCAATGTTCACTGCCTTCATTTTTATAACTGAGTAGTTATGTACTCTCTCTATTAAATGTTGGGGATACTTGTACCACAAACTGAATATATTACTATATATCTTTATTATAGGAAGTCAAATCTGATCAAATACAGTCATTTTATTGCAAGGTAGATTATATGCATGTATTTTGTTTTTGTATACTGTATATTGTGTGTGTCATTCAGGTGCAAAAATTCAGAATATGAAAATGATGAGAATTGCCAACATTGTAGGCTTAACACATTATACAGTTTGAATTGAATTACAGTATATCAGTTCTAAATTACTGTATGCCTTTTACAGTATGCTCCATTCTGTACAAAGTCTTCAAAACTAATTGTTGGGACAGATTCCAAAACAACTGAATTATATACAGTACAGTACATATATTCATTTTATTCTCAATTGAATAAATTAATGTAAAATGAATGGGGAAGGAAAGATATGACCCTTTGTCAATCTATCAAAGCTGAGTTTTTGTGAATGCATGGTTCATTTTCTGCAACATTTGGCAGTGTTTAAACTTGTCTTTTGAGAACGCTTTTGCATTTAAAGGCTGATGAAACATTCTCAAGGCTGTTTATTTCATGCTGATGACTTCAAATACAGCAGTTGATGATTTCCCAGTGGATGATGTGATAATTTTGGTTGTTGATTCAACTAATCTCACCTGAGGAAAGCAGTTTACTCCCCAGGATTTTCAATCAGGCCTGTGCCAGGTACCATGTTTTCAGTTTTAAATTGAATATCCTTTTGGAAAACTGACAATAGGGCATCTACTTTATGTGTCTGATACTTCTAGGTGGCAGATGGGGGGTTTAAATTATTGGATCTGAGCATGTTTGACATCCAAGGTCTGAATATGAGGCTACCCTTTTCACAATAATTCTGTACAGGGTTGTTGTATACTGTACAATTTTAATATATATATAAAGTTTCTGACATTGAATGTTCAGATGCTTTTTCTGCACTAGTATTAAACAGAACTGTTACTGTTTTAATGAAGTCCTTGGTATCCATAGCAACTTCACAGCAAGCTTCCAGAATGCACAAAGGTTAAATATAACAGGTTCAATTTTGAAATAGTGAAAGCCTCTTTGTATGTTTTTTATTAAAACAGCCAAAGCATTTTATTGTTGTTATAATGTAAGATCTGTTGTTTTACTTGAACAAGTGTGTGTTAAAGAAGGAAGCAGCTTTACTGCAGTGCTGAAGGAGCTCCATGCAAGGTTGATGAAACAGAATGTTTTAATTAAAATATGTATTTGGAATTATCATAATGAATTTATCTGTGACGTGCATGGTAGTGCAGTGTTAGTTCACTTCTAGTTTAATGTTATTGTCCTGAGTAAGTTTATTATATTTTTTTTTATCAGGAGAAAACAGAGCTAAGCAAGTCGTATTTCCTGTTCTGAAATACAATTTCTTATAAAAATTCAGTTTGCATTTTGATCATCAAAAGTTTAACAGACAGCTATTAGGTCTCTGAAACATTTCCTTGCATGCATGTGATCTAGGGACCCTCTCAAACATCATATTTCTGGATGAATATACTGTACTTAATGTGCTGCATTTATTATTAATCTATTGCTATCTGTCAACTGAGATAGATGATATCAGAAAACATACAGTTGGCTTGAAGACTGCATTTGACTGTAAATACAGTAGATATCTTTAAAACATTAAAGAAGTCCAGAAAAGATAGTCAATTACAGTATATATCATTGCACAAATTCATTGTCTTTTTTATCACACAGCTGATCAAAATCACCAGGAGGATAAAGATGTCCTGTAACAGAATATGAATTTGTTTTGTTAAAATGGGCTTAGGGGTTGCTTTACATAGTACCATTAAGGGTTAAAGCATTTGTGAAATGATTTTATAAAGTTGTGTTTACTCTACAGTATGTATTCAGATAACGCTGCAGAATCAAGTGGATTTGACTTTCCTTTAAATAACTGATACATCTCTTTTTTTAATTTGGAAAAAAAAGTATTATTATTGCTAGTAGCTGGTGTGTTATATATTGCTTTTCTTTCTTTTAATTTTGACAAACATGCCATATCGTAATACACTTCACTAATACAGTATATACAGGCTACACACAATATCTGTTTTGGTATTATGTTAGACATCTCATTTACAGTAAATCCATTTTATGTTATATGTACAGTAACCTGCATGACTGCTAGTTTGGTTAAGATATAACTATTCCGTTTGCACTTTCCATTTTTTTCATAGCATGAATATGATTTTTAATTTGCAGCATGGTATAAAGCAAACCTTTATTTTGATATATGTTTTACATATTCATTGTCTCATTTTTTCTTGATTCTTATATCATTTTAACCAATGTTTAGAATGGTGTAATTGTGGCATGAACATCAGTGGCTTGATACACATTCCACTTGGATTTATGACCGTTCGAGGAAAGAGCCAAATTTGCAGATACTTGATTTAGATTAAGATTAATATTAAAATCTGAAACTCTTTTTTGATTCTTTCCTATTACTACAAAAACACACATCTTTATATAAGAATTAGGAAACAATAACACAAAATTACAGTGTAGTGGTATTTAATCTTTTGTAGTATGTAATCTATCCATTTCGATTACCAAATTGTCAACTTTGTAAATTTGTGTTTTAATAGACTAACTTTTGCAATTGCAAATATATTGCACTGTATGAAGTTACTTTGATACAAGAAAAAATTTATTAATTAAGATAATGTGTTTGAGACTAAAGTCAGTAGTTAAAGGGTACTATTTTGCTCAAATGAAAATCCATCAACTGCTGTTAAACAAGCAGTTTTTTAAATGTTATTAGTCTTGTAGTTAGGTATTAACTTAACAAAAATATTTTTAGCACAATATAAAAGTAGTTTATGTTAAAGTCTGACAGAATGAATAGGACTGTTTAACAGCACAAAGCACATGTTGACAGATGCACTATCACTGTTGTTCCTTCCACTTTTGCAACTAGTCGGTTTGTCAGCATGAGTGTGACAACAATTAGACGTCCCTGTTTGCACCATGCCTTTTCTCCTTCACAGTCATTCAATGACAAGCGTAAAAAGAACTTCATCTTTTCACGAAAATTCCCATTCTACAAGAACAAGGAGCAGAGTGAGCAGGAAACCAGTGACGCTGAACGTAAGTACTGTACACCTCCGAAGGGTTGTGTCTCACAACAAGCCACACAACACTGGATGAGAAATTCACGACCCATGCACCTCGACACAGCTACACGTAGGCAGGCAGCGTAGGGTACTGTAGCACTGCTGGGACCTGTGTCTGGTTGCACTCTGGGCTCCACTGAAATGTTAGAAGGATCCAGTTCTGTTCAGCATCTGTTTACAACTTGTAATGAGCAGTGACTGATGTTTTCCTGTTAACCTCTTTTGCTTCTGTGTCAGCATGCTTCTTAAAATACGTTGGTGTGCAGCATGATAACATTTGCTTTCACATTTGCTTATTGGAACCCTCACCTTAATTATACTAGTTTGAATCTGACCCTGTGCTAAGAGCATCCTATAAACTTAACATACTGTATACATGCTGATTACATTGAAATCAATCTTCCAAATCTGTAAAAGCATTCTAATATACAGAGGTGGAGCAATTGACTCAAAAAAATAAATTCTGTTTTTAAAGAAATTATAAACTGAACCACCAAGTATGTGGCAGCATTGACTGAAGTCTTCCATATTTCTCTAAGGAAGAAATAAATTGTGACATTTCTTTTTTCTCAAAAAACAAAGGTGCACTGACTCATTGCCTCAGTGGTAATCAGCTCTTGAGCAGAGCTGACTTTTCTAGCGCTGGGTGGAGTGGAGATCCAGACTGCTGGTCAGGTCAAGGCAGAATCGACTTTAACTCCACTGACTTCTTCCTTCCTCTTCTGCGGTTATTCCTCTTCTCTCTCTTATGGCTCTCTCTGGGGACTGCTGTGTAGGACATGCCTGGAATAGGTGACGACGGGTATGGGACAAAGACACTGCGTAAGTTCTCAGGAATGGTCACTTCTTTAATTTCCAACTCTTTGGTTCTGTTACGTTTTGTTTTTAACACTTTCCCTTGACAAGGTCCTACCTGTTGGCATGCACAGATAGATTTACTGTATGTTTGAACTTAGTCTTGAATGTCCCCCATTTTATTTTCTTGTTTTTACTTCTTTTTCTGCTTATATTTTCACCCGGTTATTTCAAATGTTCCTTTTGCATGACACTACAAAGAAAAGGCACAGGTCGCTTTGAGATAGGGCTTCTTGTTCTGTGTCTCTGATTTATTTTATAGAACTTCTGTTCATAATGTCTCTCTTTTGTCCCCATACTCAAATACAGTACAAAGCTTTATTTGTGTGAATCTTGTCTTGGCCTTCATTTAAATGTAAATATTTGTTCCACCTTGAAGGGAAAGGGCGGCAAGCAATGTTTTAAAAATTCTATTACAGGTCTGTGCTGGTCTCTCATTTTTAATGAGCTCCTGACTGCAGTAATTCAGTATTTGAAAAATGAGGTGAACAAAAAATTAAAAAATAGATGAAATACCACAATTCTTTTTTGAACATATCATTATTGACTATTATAGTGGATTCTTCACATAGTGTCCCATTGAACACATGGCAGAAATATAGCTTCCCCTTCAAAAGTGGACATTTTTAGTATTCATCTACAGCTTTGTTCTTTCTTTCTATTTTTTCTAACTCAAAATGGTCCATACACTGAATCCTACAGTATGTTTGAACTACTCAGAACTCTATGTCTTACTTTGTATTTGTATAGATAATATGATTGAAGACATATTTACTTAAAATGCCCATTAATGTTGCAGTTTGTTTATCATGTGACCTTTAAAAAATACTGAAGCTGTATGCGCTATGTTCTAATGCATGATGACTATATACCTGTATTCGATTTTTTTCTTGTCTCATACAGTAATATATCACATAATATATTACATCATTACTGCACATACATTAGCCTATTTTATACTACTTACTAACACCACAGAATGTATTGTGTTAATTCTTTTCAAAATATAATCTTTTTAAATATGGTATATTATATTTATACAGTAATATTACAGTTTCTTATTGTTTTTAACTGTTTTTTTTTTTTATAAAAGTCCTGTACTTTTGTGATGGTTCTTCCTTTTTGCCAGGGTATGGTCATCAAGACATTTTATCCCTTTGACATACATGCTCAACTTGGGCTAGATTCATTGTCTACTAATGGTTTTAGACTTTGTGACTTCCCTGAACTATTTTTGTTCCCTCAGCAGTCTGACAGCTGTTGTGTACACCCCAAAACAATTGCATTAAACTCACATAATTTCAAAAGAACATGAACAATGATTACAGTATGTGTGATTATTATCCATCAATAATGCTGTCAACCTTTAATAGACTGACTGAAAGTAAATTTACATTGTTAAAATAAGGATAAAGAGTAAAAACAAATGTTTTTTCATCCTATCAAGCCAAGGGTCTATTTGTATTTGGGTTAAAGGGGATCTAACCAAATATTAAATAAAAAGCAGGTATTTAATGTATATTTTAAAATTTGATGGTGCAACAATGGTTAATAAAATGCTTTATAATGACATTTGTTAATGGAACCATTAAACTATGCTCGCAATTTCAATGTAAGGAAAAGGGTTAAGCTTCATTTGCATTAAAAAATAATAAAATCTCATTGGTTTGTCTTATTTTAAACTACAGTATATACAGTACAGTAAATACATTTTTCCAGGATATGACGTGCTACTGTATGTACTGTATTTGCTTCGATTCGTGTTATACGTTTTCTGAGGCAGGCCAGAATTGAAGTGATAGAAGTGGTTTGGTTAAATCCTAAAAAAGGTGATTAGAGGGACGAAATGTATGGAGAGCGTTTGACATAACTCACCTAGCAGAGAGAATGACGACCTAGTTGTGAGACTGCCTGAACTCCCCTTCTCTAATGCGAGTATTGAGCCAGGGAGCTGCTACAAGGGTGTAGATGAGGGGACAGCAGTGAAGTCCAGGGTGTGAGATAAAGTACATATATACTGTACAGTGTACATGTACAGTACTGTAGATAATCAGAAGTGGGTGAAATTAGGCTTTAACCTTCCTACTGAACTGCTATTTTAAACTCCACTGATACACCTGCTTGTTCTAACAATACCTATGCATTAAGTGTCAGACAAAACTCACAAATGCACCCTGTCTGCTTTTAATTTTATTTCCAACTGTAATGATCTGGCAAAGGAATGTGATCTTTCTCTTATGCCTTGACACTACACTATACTTACAGTATATTACAATAAATAAGGTAAAGGGATTCTTCACCTTTATATTTTTCTTAAAAAAAAAATGTTTTAAAATTTACCAAAATTAAACACATTATTTCCCTGTAGTTTTTTAGGTTTTTTGTACAGTTTCCAAATCCTATTTTTTACCTTGTCCTCATTTTAAAGATCCAGTGTGGACTTGTATTAGCAGAACAGCACAATATACTGTATGGTAGGTACTGTATGCTGTACCACCAAAATACTTTTTCTTTAAGGATAAAGAGATTGGAGCATTCTTTGAAAATGTTACAAAAATATTAGTTCTTTATTACATCTGATTAGATGTCTTTGCAGGTTTTAGGAGTGCTAAGGTCAATGTTATGTCAATCAGTTTTTGTATTCGCATTTCACTGTCTGATCAAACGCTGCCCTTAGTATTTCCATTTATAAACACTAAAATGCAGCATCACAGGGAATCAACACAGAAAGAAAAAAAAATAATAGCAGCAATAATAATGATAAATACTATATTACAGTTCAAATTATTGGTATAGACTGGGCAAATCCTGAAGCTTATGTCAAAATAGACATTATTGAAACATTATCATCATGTGACTTCAGTTTTTGAGACAGATCACTTGGAAAGTGTAAAACCTTTTGGTATGCATTTTGTCTTTTTTCTCTAAGATTAGAGCACACACACACACATATATATATAAGTTAAAAGTCACATTGCAAAGTAGTAATGGCAACGCTGACCTTGAATACAGGGATGCTTATAGTACTTTTGAAACAAGAATTTTTTTAGCATACCACACAGTTGACATTGTGTTTCCTGAAACCTTTATCAGCAGAATCTATCCTTTCTACAGAGGGTCAGCCACAGGAGATACTACTTTGAGTGCAAGAAGTTCACAACAGGGGGTAAACGTGTTCACTGATAGAATATAATGGGACGAGTGATGTATAACCTGTCTTTTTAGAGCACCGAAGCTGTTTATCACAGGGAGATCAATGGACACATGTGAATGGTTATCTGTGCTGTGCCATGGCTTCACTGTTTGATTGATCTTTGATGGGAAAGAGGCCGTAATTACCTGCACAGAGCTACATTTTTTAATGTACATAGAGTTTCTGTGTGAATGAAAATATTATGTTCAACAATTTTTGTGCTTAGACAAACTGCACTTTTTGATCAACTCCCTTTCAGATAATACATTTTAGCACCTGCATTCAAAAGCTGCAGCAATGAAGGGTTTGAGTATGGCAAACAAATGTGATAGAAGTGGCCGTTGTTTTCTATTCATGTGTGTTCTATCATTTTATCTGTTTATCCTAGTGAGCATGAAACACTGTACAACACCAGAGAGAAAATGAAATTGTACAGACACATCAGCAGGCATTTGATTACCTGATATCACCTTTATGATTTTTCTGTTTCTTTCCTATGTGCTCCCTCTTCCTTTTGTGTCTCTGTCTGTACCAAACCAAATTTAAATACCGTGAAACTTGGATGAATACCCAAAATGTGTGTGAAAATAATTTACTTCACATCAAAATGATATCGGCTAACGCTTCCTGTTCTGAGAATGCTGGACATGTGAATCACGTTCGGAAGTTTTTTTTTTCATTTTGTCTTTATATTCATTTTTACAAAGACTGCTGTTTATAATCGTAGATCTGCTTCACATAATGGACGTTGTCGACTTAATATTGGACATAATATATCATAATACTGGATTGTGTCAATATCCCATACCTATGCATGTTTTTTATACCACCAGGGAGTCAAGAGGACTTGATTCTTTCCTATGAGCCTGTCATTAGACAAGAAAGTAAGTGGCTTTTACACAAAACTTTTGAAAGTAGTATATAATGATTGTTTTATTTTGTTTACATTCTTTTTTCTTAACTATTTAAAGTTTATCATTCTAAAACATGTCTTACTTTTGTTGGAATCTTTCGTAATCTATACATTCCTGAATAGGACTCATGACACGGACATTTGAGTCGTAGATATTGCATGTCTCTGATTAACCATTGTAGAAAAGAAGCTCATAGATGGCCTTGGAAAAATGGGCCATGATCTGTCAGTGAAAAGCAAGAGGCAAAAATAATATTTGTATTGTTAGTTTCTTCTACTGCCGTCTCTTTGTTCAAATAATTAATTTATATTGTGTAATTCCCAGATAGAAATCCAGATTATGTGAGTCATTTCTCAAAAGGAAATTAAGAGTGTGATTGAACATTATCTCTGTTAAATCTGTTAAGGATATTATTATTAATAATATGTACAGTAATGTAGTGCTTTGTGTATGTCTTTATTTTCCTAATAGTCAACTACACCAGACCTGTTATCATCCTGGGTCCGATGAAGGACAGGATTAATGATGATCTAATATCTGAATTCCCTGACAAGTTTGGATCATGTGTGCCACGTAAGTACAGTACAAGCCTGACAATGCAACAGGTTCTAATACTCAACACCTCCAGCCTTTTTCATTGTTTACCTTATTGGGTTTACAGTATGTATTGCAGATTTGATAAACATTTTTGTTTCATTTTTGTTTTATTTGACTTTTGTCAAAATGTCTTTTTACAATCCGTTTTCAAAGTGAGCATAATTTTAAAGAGCATTACAGTGAGATGAATTCAGGAAACAGATTTTCTCTTGCTTTGGCTTTGAATGCACAGTACAAGATGAAAAGGAAAAGGGGACATTTTTCCTCTTTCATGACAAAACAGCTGCTATTGTTAGTGAAATTAGTAGAAGTGATTAATAGGAACATTTTAAGTTAGTAACATTTAGTTTGTGACTGAGTATAAATGGAATTACAGGTTGAGCTGTACATGTTGTAGATCAATGTAATTTTTGAATACTGTATACTGCATTGTATACTACATGGTAAACAAAATGAAGGATTATCACATAAGATTATTACATTAATATTACTGTTTAATTTTTTGCTTCAGCAGTTTCTCTGAACAGTAAATGAGTTGTTAACAGTAAATTTTTTCATGTGCAGTGTGATGGTGAGTAGAGGCCATGCTTTATCATTGTGGCGCTAGAGATGGCATAACCTACTGTATATACTGTATGCAATCTCTATGGCTGTCAACATCCCATGTTTCCATCGTGACCCTTGTGCTATTGTAAGTGACAGTGCTGCCTCAGACATTATTAGGGACTACATGCTTAGGTATATGTTTACCATCTCACTTCCCTGCTGTTTATAATATTTCAGACTTGGGGTTAATTTTTTTCATTTTTTATTATTGTTATATTATTATTGTTTCTCCTTACCTTAAATAAAACATTTTACAGTATTGATATTGTGTACACAAATCCACAATTATCTGTGTAGTTCACATAAATGATACCATACAACACTGTTCCCTGCATTGATAGTTTATTTAATACACTTTGCATTATCTAACCTGAGAATAATACCCTTAGCTTTCCTTGTATAAAATGCAAACACAGACATCAACAATTCACTCTGGATTAACACAAGTTAGAAAGTATTACCTGTAAGAGGATGTCTTACACACCGAATGACTGTTTATTGTTCTCCATAATGTAGATCCCAATGAAACTGTCCATCCTTTCCTTTCTTTTTGACCTTCAGCTTTAATTTCTGTATTTATCTTTTTATTTATTTTTAACACCTAAAAAATGCAGCTAACTTTTCAGGGCGCTTGGGTAAGTAAGCAAATTAGTCATTAGTACAGAAAAAATAGCAAACAGTTTAAAACATGTAGAAATGCAATAGTTTTTGATGTGGTAGTTTGATTCTTAATCTTTGATATCTGGAAATTGCACCCTGCTTCTATAGGGGCAAATGCTAATTTATTTGCTATTTAGATAATGCAATTATCTAAAGTGAGCTTATGCAAAGAAAGATATAGACTGTGGACATAGACATACAGTATTAGATATTCAACATATATATATAAATATTTAAAGTACTGTAGATGAGAGAGTTTTCCATAAAATCTGTAATATTAAATTGTTTCATCCTCCAAATCATTTTTGGATAACCTGTTCCATCTGCTCTTTGCATAAACTGCAAACCTACTGTGTCACTGTGATGTTTCAGAAATTGGTGTTTAGCTTTCTTTGGCTGAGACATTTATTATATTATATAAAATGCCTACATTCGTTCTAATTACTTTTGCTTTTGCTTTGTTGTTTTACATGTGATCATCTTTATAACCAAGATATCATGCAGCTTTCTAAAAGTTAATAGTGCTGAACCTCATAGAGTGCTATAATTAGAAATGATTTTAAGAGAAGCCACTCTAGTGTGTCATGGACGTAATGAGCTACTTTATTCTAGGAGCTGTTGAGGTTTTGAAACTTTTAATATTAGGCTGTAATTTTAATAGTAAAATATTTTATGTGAAACAAACATTAAGCATGTCTATACTTAAATGTATTTCTAAGTGTCCACATGTATGATCTTTGTTATTCAAAAATTAATTCACAAGAATATGCAAACAATGTACAGTGTACAATTAGAAATTCGTTATTTCATAGCCTCGGTATAAAGTAGCTTCATGGCTTTATATTTTTGCATGGTAACTCATTCAGGCGAGTTTCAATTTTCTTAGCATCTTCTGAATCAGAAAGATGCTTTCCTGTATTGACAGTTTTCAGGACATATCACCCTAAATTTACTCGCTATAATATAGACAATTGCAGATTTGAGCAAACTGCTTATACTTCGACTGTAATTAAATGCAGAAACCGCATTATTGTTACATTTTGTATAAGGCTTTATATTTCGTTTGTACTTTAAATAAATCATTTTTTATTGTCTGTTTTTTGTACATACTCTATTTCTTCTTGTGCAGTTGTCAGTTTTCATTTACTGTATACTTATTTAGCATTTCAGAAATTAAAAAATAATTTAAATTAATTGGGAATTAAAGTACAGGTTATACAGCATATCAATATTCTACTTAATGTCAATGCATGAGGCTACATTCCAGCTTTAAGCATTACCCCACAGTTTTTTTTTCCTTTGCAAATGTCCGTTTGATATTTTTGTTTTTGATGATGGATGTTAGGCAGGGCAGGGGGCAGCTATTTTTGCTGTAGTAGTTATACGATATGGCAAATACAAAACGCCAACAAAAAAACAACAGAGAATCACTCAGAGCAATCAGAGGTATAAAATGTATGAAGATTAAAACACAACAAAAGAAAGCAAACTGCCACTTTCAGGAATTCAGCTGTACAGCTTTGTCTTAAATTATTTATTAAGGCTAATTGCCGTGCAGATTACATATGTATCTGAAGGATCTGGTTGTGAAGGTTTTAATTTGACAGCACTGTAAAAATAAAGCATACAGCAATCGCATCAGAAATTCATCAGTGGTAAATATTTAATCCATTGCATTCTTAGACTGTTTATGCTGTAGATTTGAAATTCTGTTCAGTCTTGCTGATTTGCCTAATTTCACATTTCCAGAGAATAAAGTCTTATGCTCTTCCTAGATACCACAAGACCAAAGCGTGACTACGAAGTGGATGGGCGGGATTATCACTTTGTCACCTCCAGAGAGCAAATGGAGAAAGACATCCAAGAGCACAAGTTTATTGAAGCTGGACAGTATAATGACAATCTGTATGGAACCAGTGTCCAATCTGTAAAATACGTAGCAGAGAGGGTAAGGGGAAAGTCACAAAGTTGTCATGCTTCACATTTTAATTGGTTTGATCATGTGCAAGGATATGCTGCCCACACATACTACTGAGTGGCTGTTTACCAATTTATGTGATGTTAAACATGCAAGCCACCACCGGTCATTTCCGCAACTAGAAGTGATTCTGAAAAAGTCATTCCTGGAAAGGATATACTGTAGAAAAGATATGTAAATTAAAAATATATATTCAAAAAGCTACAGTATATTAAAAAATTCAGATACCCTAAACTGTAAAAGTGAGCGCATCTGATACACTTCAGTTTCATTGTTTACGTGTTGTTGACATTCTCACAATGAGATGAATCAAAATCAGACTTGTGATCGGAATCACCTTTATTCGCCAAGTATAGTGCATTTCATGTACAAGGAATTGAAATACAGGATTCAGGTTAAGCAAAAAGACAGCTCTGGTTCTGGTTTTAATAGATTGAACATGCCCTTCTGAGGGACGTTTATGTAATAAGTGGGAACCTGGGTGAGAGGGCTGTTCTTTACCTGTGATACTGGTGATAATAAGGTGACAGAGATCATAATTCACCAAAATGTAAAGTACTCCACAACATTCACAGCGAAAGCCTTGATTACCAAGGAGAAATGTTTTGGAGAATGTTTCTGGAAATCTCTGTTTCCACTGTTTAAAGGCTATTAAGCTCTGAGTGTTTGTTAGCCCATATGATAACACCTGACTCACCACCCTCCTGTAAATCATCAGTCTTATCATCACTAGTGATGAGATCTACAAAGGTGATGTCATGAGGGTTCAGTAATGGAACTATTCATGAAATTAATCAGAAATTGTCTAGTGGCATTTTAGCTAGATATTAATTGTAATTGTAAATATAATTCCAAGGTAAATAGTATTTTTAAGATTAGTTTACTTTATTACTATCATATACAGTAATTCCAGTAATATCAGCATTCTTTAGCCCATATTATTTTTATACACCACTTTCTTTGTGTGAACAGAATGAGTACTGATGATAAAACTGTAATAAAATTGTTTTTATTACTAAAAAGCAGATTTAATATACATTATATTCAAAACATGGTGGTAATTATTTACAGATGGATGTTTGGAATATACTCTACATTAATGATGAGTAATGTTGTAATTCTTAAAGCACATGAGGTATGAATTTGTGATCTATTTCTATTCTTTCTGAAGGGAAAACACTGTATATTGGATGTATCAGGAAATGCTATAAAAAGATTGCAAGTTGCACAACTCTACCCCATTGCCATCTTTATAAAGCCTAAATCTATTGAGTCGTTAATGTAAGTAGTTCTTATACTTAATTCCTTTTTTAAGGTATCTTTTTAGGCTTTTCAGTAATGTAACCTTTTATGCCTTTTTATAGAAAAAAATGAATAATGGATAAAAATTACATAGTGACATGTTTGATATCTTGTTGGACAGATGAACAAATTAGACCTTTAAACCGACAAAAATAGTATTTTACAGTGTAAAACCAATTTACATGAATTTCCCTACGGGATTAATAAAGTATTATCTATCTATCAAGAAATAAGTGAATGGTTTGCTGCAATGAATGGCATGATTAGTTTTTTTTATTTGCATTGTGAAATACAGTATTTTGTCTTATATTGCCAAACATCGCATTGTTTTTTGTTTTAAATAACCAAATCTCTCATCAGGGAAATGAATAAAAGACTCACAGAAGAGCAGGCAAAGAAAACTTATGATCGAGCCATGAAGTTGGAGCAAGAGTTTGGCGAATACTTCACAGGTAAAGAATGCAGGATATTCTTTGATATAGTTTGATGCATGAAAGAAAGACAGCTCCTGTCTTTTAGTACTAATGTATTATGTTTTATCTCTGTGCACAATTGAAAATAATTTCATTTGCAGTGTTTTTGCATTTTTGTTTTCAAGATAGGAGGTTATTTGGCCCATCTTGCAGTTTAGGAACTAATTGAATATTGTCCAGTTATTTCTTGAAGAAATTCTCCAGTACTTTATCCTTTTTAGAGAGGCATGGTACAGTATGCATTATGTTTCTGTCACTTGAATTGTGAGCTTACAGTTATTAAGAATGTGATCATGCAAGATATGATTGCAAGTATTAGGGAGTATTCAAAAAATAACAGCTGGTACTCTAATCTCACAGTATAAGCATTGAAAGGATCCATTGTCTGGGATGTGTCACTAACACTTCCTCCTGTTTCCTGGATTATTTCATTTATTTTTTACTTTTTGAGCAAAGGCATTAAAGACTCGAATGTTGAGTGTTTGTCTGACTCCACTGTGTTTTCTTTTACAGCTCTTGTTCAAGGAAACACCTTAGAAGACATTTATAACCACTGCAAGTTAGTGATAGAGGAACAGTCTGGACCTTACATCTGGATTCCCTCAAAGGAAAAATTATAAAAAACCCTTGCCAGTGAACTGAGACTGCAACTATAGGAATAATTTGTAATATATTAATTATTATGATGATGGTTATTAATAATGATTATAATAACTACTATTAACAGACTTTTTATTATTGTTGCATATTTTTTTTTCCACTTTCAATATGAATGTTCCTGAATGTACACCACAAAGTGTTAGAAGCTTTTTTGGCCTCAGACATGGACAATTTGTTAATATATTTATTATTATTTAAAAGAAAAGGAAAACTTCAGAAGGATTGACGAGTGAAGAGACTAGGAAACCACCTGGCTCATCTCCTCACCAACTACGTATATGGACGACAACAATATCAGTTTCTTTAGCTTTCCAACTAAGTCTGAGCACTCTTAAGCGCCCTCAAGAAACTCATCACACATTTGTGGTTGAAATAGTGACTTTTCTGTTCTATGCACATCTGTGGCTCCTGGACATTGTCTTTTTTTTTCATTGATTTGTTCATTTTTGTTTTTGTTCTTTTTTGGTTGGTTATGTTTCTAGGAGAAAAAAAAATACTTTATCTATATAAAGATTCTTTATAAACTACAATGATGCTTTATCTAGAATGAACAAATAAAAGGGATACAACTGGGTATAGGAATTTTCACTATATATTTTGGTATTTATATTAATAGAGGGCACAACAGCACAGAAAATATTTATAGTAAAAAATATAACTTTGTAAAAAAGCCGATTTTACTGATGTAAACTAGCGTTTTGTGTTAGATATACAGTACAGTAGTCCTGATGAGTTTGTCTTTACACATTAAATAGAGCTTAGAACCTGTCCGAATGTGATGCACTATAGGAGCAAAAAGTACTTTGCATCACTGATGACCAAAATGGTGACATGGATCCAATGCTGAACTTTATTTCCCCCAAATTGTCCAATTTACTAATATTTTCCAAATATTACAGTTCATTTTTGTTCAATAAAAAACCTATGCAGGGGCATAAAATATTTCACTTAAGGAGGTTTTTTTACCAATTTCTCGACCGTAATGTGGAACTGTGAGCATCTGCATAAGAAGGGTTATTGTATACAATATATACAATAAAGCAACCATTGTATCTTTTCGAATTGACTATAAATTCAAGTAAGACAGACTTGGAATATATCTGTTTTTCTAAATCAGTGAAATTTCTCAATGTTTCAGTCATTCATCATGAATGTTGTGTTCTTACTCACAACTGGGGAATACAATTGTAGTAGATGATTGGCAGCTACTCTGTATATTTCTGCTAAAGTAAAACACGAGAGATCGAACCCTTTGCAACATTGCCAAATGCATGAAGTCAATACTACCGGATTTGGCTAAATGTATGAGTTTCACTATCATAGATTTGTGACTTGAATAGCTCAAAGTAAGTCTTGGGCTGGGGAAATAAAGCAATATTTGTGCCTCTCTTACAGAAAGCACAAAAATAGATTCAGAGAAACAAGTTAACATGAGAAAAAGGAAAGTGAAAGTGATCAAAGTTCTGAGTTGAACAACAAAAGAATACCGTATAAAAAATTTAAGTCGTGTGAAATCATTTACAAAGGGTACTGTAGACCATTAGTTCCGCTAGATAGGCCCATATTTCATTAATACGCAATTAATAATTTTATTGCATATTAAGCATTTCACTGATTCACATTAAAAAGTCTTTACTCACTCTAAAACATTTTGAGTCAGATGCCATAACACTTAGGCTTTCAGGCTGGCTTATCGGTCTTATTAAGACTCAAACAGGAAAAAAGAGCTAGCTCTTTATGATGATCACATTATGATGATGTGTAGAGGATCTCAGACACAAGCTTATCCCAGTTTGGCTGCTAGGGCAAAAATCAATCAGCACTATTTTGTAGCGAATGTGGTCTATGATGACTCATACTAGATTTACATCTGTTGAGAGTTAGCTGTTTGTATAAAGACATACGGCCTGGTAATTAAACTGTATTCTCCATTTTAATACAGCCTTGTAATTCCATTAGCTGGATCCCTTGACACTTCGGTCATCACTTGCCTTAAAGTGGGTATGGTTTTCTGAAAAGGAAGCAAAGGTTGCTACTGACTCAACTAGTATTCAAACCTAGTATTGCTTATAGTGTCATTTCTTAAGATGGGGAGTTTGATTAATAAAACAGGATCACAAAATATGCAGGAAGTTAATTCCTGTTATTTCCAACGTGGCCACAATTTCAGTAAATAAATTCTTGTCTAACTTCCTATTAAAATAAATGACAGATAATGTCACTATTGCACTCTAAACAAAATCACATCTTTAATAAAATATTGAGGAGCATCTCACACTTGTGTCATCCACATAGAATTCTTACAATATAGCATATCATTCCCAAACAGGTTTATGAAGTATCAGGATGCATTTGAAAGCACTGTTGTTTTTATTTCAATTTTTTTTCTAGGAATACACATAAATATAAATATGTTGTATAAACCAGTAGACGTTATTTCTTTAATGCTGTTTCACTGTAAGTGAAAGAACCCTCTGTGCTCATGCATACTGAACCAAGAACTTGTTTGTATTCCTTTTGCAACATGGTCTAAAAAATAATTTTCTGAAGTTCAAAATGGTACCTGGTTCACATGTAAGGACCTTTATTTTTCTGCACAGACCTTAAATGCTAAATTGTAATGATTATTCACAGTATTGTCCTTTAACATCAGTCTCCAAATTCACTCCTGCTATAAATAGTTGGTTTTTCAGATTTTTACTCTTTCCATAAGGTTGCAAAATACTAGCAGCATCAGGCATGCGAGTACTAGATTAATGTGCAGTTTATTTTAAGAAATATTGTTAACCTAAAATAATTTAAAAATGTGACCTGCTCTTTAAATTTGCATACTGTATGTTTCTTTATACATATATTATATTTATATACAAGCAGAAATTGGCATTTTATGTAAGAAGGGTATTGATGTTTTTTTACTCAGGGCTACCAGATAATGTTTGATAAAGATAAAAAATAAGCATCCTTGGTTATCAAAGTTTATTTGTCAATTAAGGCTATAGGCTTTAGAATACTCAATTTTCAAGACAATAAATATTGCAATGTGCACACTACCATTTCAAAAATATTATGTAGCTGATGCATCTTCCTATTTTTCCTGATTTAGTCATGCAGCCTTTCAGGCTCTCTTACTTTACTATTACATGCTGTGTTTTGCAGAAATAAAGATTTGAAAGATATGATATGGCAAAGTGCAATCTAATTATGGAAAATGAATTGGTTGTTTGTAGGATAACATAATTTACGTTTGTGTTGATATGATTTAATGTGTTGATATGCTTTCCCTTTCAGAGTGGACATTGCACTTAAGAAAATGAAATGTTCTTTCTTCATCTTCATCTGATTTTTAATTGTATTTCTTGCTCTTAGTAAAACATTTTGTACATAGTATACAGCTTTTCTGACATTGTTGGTTTTCCCAAACCTTTCAGTTACTGCGATATACCCATTTAGCCCACTGCTGCTGGAGTTTGTCTCTTACTTTATTTGGTCGTGACTAACTAACTGTCTTTCAGAATTGTTTTACATTTAATATATACAGTCTGTAACATATGCCCTGATTTTTTTCTCCCTTCTGCCCCATTGTGTTAGTACAGACCACCCTTGCAAGCAACACAGTACAAAGATTGGCAATTTTTTGCTTAGTAAGGATATGGTTTCATCATGACTTTCATTTCAGATCAAAGTCTCAAATCACATTTTAAGAATGCATTTCTGCTTTTACCTGGACAGACCAATGACACACATACCTTTGTTGAAGCACACATAAATGCAAGTGGAACTGTACAGTTATTAATAATGGTATCTATTCTTTGGTATTATTTGCATTCTTTTTCAAAAAAAGAAGAGAAATGTCCTTTGCATTATGTTATGTACTCTTGATTGCTTTGAAAAATCACTTTAAAGACAATTGCTTTAGGTATAAATGAAGGTAATATTACTCTACATAGTAGCCATCTGAATTGTAAATTAAAGGTTTGGTGAGACTTTTAAAAAAAACTTCTGTCTTACATTGTGTGGTGTCCTTCCTTGCTGTCCTCTCTTCTCAGTGAGTTTTGGATTGGGTCTTAAATTTATCTTCTTCAGACCAGACTGTTTCCAGTAACAGAGTATTCCACATCATGTGTAAGGAAGTGCACACTAGCATGTAATGTTCGCTTTTCATGCATCATTCATGACACACTTTTCTACTTAATCCGTTTTCTCTGCAAACTAAATTCTACACACCTGAAGAAGGCTCCACGGCCGAAACATTGTGTTCTCTTTCTTCTTTTTTTCAGCATGGAATAAACCTATTACTTGTTCCTTTGCAGCCTACACATGCTGACACAGCTACCCACCTGAACTAAATTCTACAGTGATTTACGTAGTGATTCTCTTCATTTTTTAATTCATACTTGCTATTCACATTTATGCAATTCTTGCGTGTGGACTATATACAGTATAAATGCATATCATTAGTCACCCCAGTCCAAATCCTCTAATATTTTGTGTGTTTGCTTCCCATAATTATCGTTCTGTGTTTTTATTCCATATAAAATAAAATAAAAATGTGTCAAAAACTGTAGGATAACACATGTAGTGTACGTTACTAAACACATGTAGTGGGGACCATCCTGGTTGCTCAAGCCTTGGTAACACAGTTTTGGTCACAAGCCAAAGTGTTCACAATAGTACATTGTCAGGAGAATTTTCACCACAAATCTGATCTAAGAGACAGATTCTTCACAACAGCACTGATGAAGTTCAATCAATATGTGACATCATACTTTTTAAGTTCCATAGATGCTTTTACTAGACCCTGTTGCTAGGATAATCAAGCAAAAAATTAGACTTTTTTTTTTACATATTTAAGACCATAAATAGAGCTAAAGATATGTTGAATTAATTCTTTGAAATAACTTATAGAGCAGTAGAGAATACCATAAACCTCCAAACTACACGTATAGTATAAAGTAAATTGTTTCTAAGAATTAAAGAGTGTGGAATTGGAAAATTAAACACCTAACCACTGATGCACATACTGTAGATAATTATTATATTCTCCTTAAATAATTTATTCATTACATTATTATACTTATACTTTTGTTTTAATTTAAAATAACATGGTTGTTTATCTTCTTATTAAAATAAAAAGCAGCTTTTTATTTTTGCACAAAATAAATCTAATGATACTCTATTTACAGAAATTCTAAAACTTTTTTATGCATTTTGCAAATGATTGAGGCAGCTTCAAGCTAATTAAAATGGCCAGTTTTTATGGTGTGGTATCTCAGAATTAACAGTATTACAGTACTTATCAGTCATTATGTTTTAATATGAGGATCTCAGTATTGCCTGCTGGCAACTTGAACACTCGTGCACTGCAAAAACCATAGCTCAGTATTTTGGCCATCAATTCCAAACTCTCTTGGGAGAAACCTTTTCTGTTTCAGCTTTACTGTAAACCTGACTGTCACCAGATTTCCTAAAGAATTATTTGGAGGTTGTTGTGGCAAAGAGTATTTCCATACATCCAATCTACTGCATGACATTTATCAGATTTTTTTTTACCTTCCTGCATTTGGATTTTTTGTTAAACATATTAAAATAATAAATTTTGTATTTATTTGAAATCCCTAATATAATTAAATATGGATGCTGCCTTTAACCTACAGCACAATGTTAATGTTTTTCATCAAGCATTTTTTGTAAAATGCTGTGGGAGACAGGCATGATTTCACAGATGGGAACCTGAAAAGCAGCTTGTGTCTTTCATGCTTCATGAAACAATGAAATATTGGCCTTGTTATGGAGCTCCGGGTTTTACTGGATGCTCTGGGGCTATTTTGCCCCATTTGGCCAAGTATTCTGATGCCAAAAATGTAAACAATGTAAAAATTCATGGAGAACTGTACATCCTGTCCAGAAAGGTCTAGAAATTGTAATAACCTGCTGCTAAGGGACAAGCCATGGATCTATGAGGCATAGAGTGCACCCACGTGCTGGGCAAGAGTGAGACTAGCAAACCTGAAGGCAGTGTGCAGACAGGGGAAGTGCACTGTGCTGCACACACACAGGGGAACTACACAGGCAGCATGCACTTGGGATCTGCACAGCAGCTGAGCACACAGCTTTGTGTTGTAGCCAGCTGGAGATCCAGGGAAGCACAGATGTGAATGCAGAGAGACAGCTGGGCTGTGGTGGGCTAGGGAAGCAGGAAGTAAGCAGTCCGAGATCATGATCGAGCAGGCAGGGGTCAAAGCCAGTCAATCACAAAGCTTAAGCTTAGAGGAGATTTCCTCAGAGTAGTTGGAGTCAGCAAAGCGAGGGTCAGATCTGGGAGGACATACAGCAGTAGAGAAACCAAAAAGGGAATATATGGGAGATGAGGTCAAAGCAGGCCAGGACCCACCCCATGATAAACACTGTAGAGATATCAAGCCAAGGAGTGATTCAGGAATGAGGTAGTTACAAAGCAGAGGTTAGGATTCCAACAATGCATGGGGTTAAAACAAAGCTACTGTATGATCTCAAATCTCAAGAGGCTCAGAGACTAAACCCCTCTTAAGAGTAAGAGTTTTTTATTCTGAACCACCTGAAGGGAGCGTGATTGTAAATCATTTCCAGGTGGTCCAGGTCAACTGTCAATTGGTATCTGTTGCAACCGATGCTGAGAGACAGGTTAGAAGGTTATGTAACTAGCTGCCACATTAATGCTCGTTCTCTCTGCCACTCATCAGTAAAGGCGAGCATGACAGAAATGAATAAAACTACAGTATGCTAATTGATTGTAAGTGCTGTACAATATTTAACTTCTAACACAGCCTAGCCATCTTTTGCCACAGCTTATTTTAGATAATTAATGCAAAACAACCTGAGATACAACACTTCTTGTGACATCTAATGTCTTTAATGGGGCTTAATGGTAAAGATATTTTTTGCTTTCATGAAGGAAGTTTAACAAAACCATGCCTCATCAGACTTACCACTGAAAGTTTCACACAAAAGAAGAGAAAGCACTGATACAAGTCTGTTTGACAAAGTGTTATCTAATGAATCTTCAGAAACATCTGTTAAAAATAAGCTCCATTCATGAAAATACAAATATTTTAAACTGTCTATGTAAGAAAAGCCAAAAGTGACTTATTTCATGAAGCACTGTCATCCCTTCCTATTAAAAAGATGGATATGCCAACAAACTTTCTTATGAAAACTTTTTTTTCTTCTTTTTGTGATTCCTACAGTATGTTGGTGTGCATTATGTGTATTATAACCATTTTAAGTCTATGGCATATATGGAAAATACATAAATATGCATTCTCTCTCTCAACAAGAGGTGCTTTATAACTGACAGTTTACACAGGAAAGGGATTTTCACTTAAACTAGAATAGAGCTAAATTTCCATATCTAAATCTTGTATTTATATTTGTCACAATAAGACCACACTCTTCCATTTCCTCTAAGATTGTTTATAGACAGTTATTAGTAAAATATTCACTACTAACATCCTCAAGGAAACTGAATTTTGCTACATTTATTGTAAATGCTGCTCACGTTGGAAGTACTTCCAAATCTTTTCCTTAAAATTAAATATTTCAGCACATTTTTTCTAGTACACCAGCAGCATGGGTTTTATTTATTTTAGTTAAAACAACATTTTATTCTCTGCTGTTGTTTCCGACTAACCAACATTGCACTTTATATTCTGTTGCAGGTTTGCCATTTATAATTGAAAAGGTTTGGTCTTTCACTGATCAAATTTAATGTTCTGTCAGGGATCAGACTAAATTAGATCATATCTTCTTGGAGCTCCTGAGAACAGGCATATCCTGGTATTTTCTAGCAATGACATGCATACAGTAATCTCTGTGACAGTAGAACCAATGAACACAAAAGCTAAGACTAGAGGGTCACGACAATAACATCTTCAGCATTTACTTTATACTGCACATATTGTAACATACAATGTCCTGTATACTGTATTGTTCAGCACCGAATAAAAAACATGAGACTATAAAGAGTTTTACATAGAAAGCTTAAAAAGGAATTGTGATAGAAAAAAAAATCAAGGATGTAATACAGTATCAGCTGTTCATTCAGATGACAAAATAGTCATCAAAACAGGGAGAAAACAAGGCTTGAATATGGTTATTTCCTTTTTTAATTTTGAACTAAAAATGTCTGAAAAATCTTTAATGCAGTAGCTAAGTGGATTTTACACACAAAAGGTCCTAGTCCTACATTTTAAAACACCCATTTTGTAATCTTTTATCAATGTATTATTCTGGTGCGAAGCACGGTAGCAGTGCTCCCCTTTGCTGAGGAGCTACAGTACTATATTTATAAAATAGAAATAAAATTGTCTCTCAATGTAATTTTTCACTAACTACATATTGATTTACTTTATTAATCAGCTTTTTATTTACACTGCAGACAGAGTTGGGAGCAAGCTGCAAACAAATATGTTTTGTGGTTTAAAAAAAAAACATGATCAAAGCACTTTTTTTGATCAAACTATTAGCCTATTCAAGCATCAGTCAGCTTTTAGGAGTACACTATTCTATCTTTTTAGACATCCACTCATCGATCCATTTTCTAACTGCATTCAGCATTATGGGGGAGCCAGAGCCTATCCTGGCAAGCAACAGATGCACGGCAGGATACACTCTAGTATACACACAAGTCCCTGGTATATATTGCACAAATGTACAGTTATAAACAGGAAAAAAGAAAAAGAACAGATGTATCAGTTTACTGTTTAGTCCAGAAACAAGTCACTGTCAATGTTGCCTCTGCCCAGACGCAAGGTGGGTGCGTTGTACAATCTTATGGCAGAAGGCAAGAATGACCTCCTGTAGCGCTCCCTGTCGCACTGTGGATGGATCAGTCTATTGCTGAATGTGCTTTTCATTTCTACAAGCCTGTCATAGAGGGGATGGGAGACTTTGTCCATGATGGCCTCTAGTTTGGACATCATTCTCCTCTCAGCCGCTACCTCCAGGGGGTCCAGACCAGACCCAATGACAGAGCTTGCTCTTCTGATAAGCTTGTTCAGGCTGTTAGAATCCACTGCTCTAATCCCAGAGCCCCAGCATACCACAGCGTAGAAAATGGCACTCGC